TTTTTTTTTTTTTTTTTTTTTAAATTTCGAAGGAAAAGATTTAATTCTTTCCCCAAACTTTAGTACTTTATCGGTGGAAATTTGGTGATGTTCAAATGGACCGCGCTTAACAGAAAAGAGCCAAGCCACATCAGCTATTGCCAACTTTAATTGGGCCATTTAATGTTTTACATGAAAATGGCTGAGCGGATTTTTGTGCAAATTCCATAGAATTTTCTACACAGTGCGAAGCAAATTCCTTAAAACGTTCAAAGAAATTCGCACAAGCGTTCTCCTCTAAAAAATAAAGTTGTCCAGTTAAATGTGGCGATTGCTGATGTGGCTCGGTTCCTCTCTGCTAAACGCGGTCCATTTTTAACCGTGGACCTGGACATTTCGAGGAAAAATATTTATTTCTTTCCTCAAAATGGAGATGTTGCACGTGTGAGGGATTTGCGATTTGACCATTGATTCTTATGTAAAAGTTCGCGAGAAACACAATGGTGCCACTGGTTTTCTCTGAAATCGTCTCCCAAGCTCAAAAAAAGCTCTCAAAGTGAGGCCAAAATGGAGAGGATATCCCACCCTACCCTGAGAGTCCACCTCTACATCAAAACAAACTCTTCATGATGCAAAGATAGGGAGCAAATACATTGACAGGGCTGCCACTTTATTTGGGGGCTCCAAAACTGAAAACACGGCAACCCTGCTAATGAATTAGCTCCCTATCTTTGCATGGAGAGTTCGTCTTCATGTAGAGGTGGACTCTCAGGATAGCGTGGATTACCCCACCCATTTTGGCCACAACTTGAGAGCTTTTTTTGAGCTTGGGAGTTGATTTCAGAGAAAACCAGTGGCACCATCGTGTTTCTCGCGAACTTTTACATAAGAATCAATGGTCAAATCTCAAATCCCTCACACATGCAACATCTCCATTAAGTACTATGTCGGTGGAAATTTGGCAACGTTCGAATATTTCTTGGGTTTCTTTTTTGTTGGAACGGTAGCATTGACCCTAGCTCGACATGTTCGGTGACGATTTTTTTATCGACCCTCGAAAAAGATGTTTAAGAAACGACCCGGAACAAGACCCACAGGAACATGTTTCACGTGGTTTCCGCGGGCGTGAGAACTTTCTTCATGAACGTCTTATCGGCCCCCCTGTTGCCGAAGTTGCGCGAGGGCGGCGGCGGGGGCGGAACGGGCGGTTTTTTGAACTGGACGGTGATGACCGGCGGGGCCTCGACGCCGGAAGTAGGACTCGTGCATCTGCTTTGCTCGTCGTCCGAGGACCTTTGGAAAGTGCCGTAGATGGTGACCGGCTCGCATACGGCGTATCCTAGCTTCGTGTAAAAGATCTCCTGCCCTTTCGTCGAGAGGTAGATCGTTGATTTCCCGCACCTGAAAAAGATTCCGTTCGGTCAGTCGCACTGAAATAAAATTCTCGGCGTTTTTACCAAGGTCCGTTGGTACCTTTCCCATCTCACTTTTTTTTACCAATTATTGGTAATTTTACCAAGACAGACTGGTAAGCTTACCTAAAAACCGGTATTTTTACTGTTTTTCTGAGGTAAGAATACCACTTTTATTGGTAATCAATTCCCGGTAACTTTGCCATTTTATCTCGGTAATTCTACCTCAGTCGATAAAAAATATTGGCGTTTTTACCGGGGTCCAGTAAAATTACCGAGAAAGTCGATAATTTTACCAAGATTTCTCGGTAAAATTACCAATTCCATAAATGATAATTTTACCAAGAAAAAAGTGGGATCAAATAGAACCCTGAATTCTTGGTAATTTTACCCTTTTCTTAGTAAATACATCGAGATTTATTTTTTCAGTGCGGGGTTGAAATTGATAGACAAAGCTACAGACGAAGAGGACAGAGGGGATATTGAGAGATCCTATTGGTGGAAGCGTCAAGCGGGTGGTTTTAATGGACAAAGAAGGTAGATAATAGACGAATTATCGGCAACCCATGAGAGATCCTATACGATAGGACCTATGGTTAGTCTATCATTTTCTCCCTTAGTCTGTAAGAACCAACCATTTCAATCAATAGGATCGCTCCATACTCCCTATGTCTTCTTCCTCTATCGCTTTGTCTATCAGTTCCAACAATAATGAGAACACCGCACCAAGAACAGCCTATAACTGGAAACCGCGTTTTGAGAAAAACGTATTTAAAGTTTTGTTTTTGATGTATTGCGCAGACTTTTTTATGCAGGTACCCTGTTTTGGTGTTTTTGGGTGACCTAACCCTTCTAATGAAGGATGCCGGGTAGATTTTGCGATACATTTTGGGTTTACACTCTAATATATTTAATTTAAAAAAAAACGGTTTATCGGCCATTATTACGCCCTACAGTCATTTTGCTGGCAAAATGAAGTATAAATCATTTTAATCACGCATGATTAACGCAAAATGAAAGAATATATCGAAAGTGAGTAAAGAAAGGGGTAACTAGCACCTTAGGTCCTTAAGTTTATAGGCCCGTTTATAGGTCGTTCTTGCACCCATCGATCCAGAGGCCAGACTTAACTCGGAAAAAAAAGGTTTTTCGACCTCGAGCCGTTACCTAACTATATTCTATCGCTACCACAGCTTAGTCCAGGGTAAGTAGAATCCGAAAAGCAGATGGGCGTAATAACGACCTATACGCCTATAGGCTGTTCTTGGTGCGGTGTCCTTAATTGAAATCTTCCGTCGCATTTCTAAGGCGCAATGATACAACTATTTGAACTCTCCGGAATGCGTGAGGTATCACGCCGCGTTTGAAGGCGTTTCCAAAACAGCCAAGTTCCGATACCCGGATAATCGTTTTGCATACTTCATATTCTTTTGTTATATTCTGTACCACTTGTTTATATTTAATCATCGTAAGAAACCCACCCATTTGCTAAATACAATTCTAGCTGGAGCGCACTTCAGCTATGCATTCACGACTGCAAAAATGACAAGGGAAATCGACAAGCCCAGCGTGCATTGAGGCGATTTCCATTTTAATCTTCCGTTACATTCTTACGGCGCAATGATACAACTATTTGAACTCTCCGGAATGCGTGAGGTATCACGCCGCGTTTGAAGGCGTTTCCAAAACAGCCAAGTTCCGATACCCAGATTATCGTTTTGCATACTTCATATTCTTTTGTTATATTCCGTACCACTTGTTTATTTTTAATCCTCGTATAAAAACCACCCATTTGCTAAATACAATTCTAGCTGGAGCGCACTTTAGCTATGCATTCACGACTGCAAAAATGTCAACGGAAATCCACAAGCCCAGCGTGCATGGAGGCTATTTCCATTTTAATCTTCCGTTACATTCTTACGGCGCAATGATACAACTATTTGAACTCTCCGGAATGCGTGAGGTATCACGCCGCATTTGAAGGCGTTTCCAAAACAGCCAAGTTCCGATACCCGGATAATCGTTTTGCAAAGTTCCTATTACTATGTTTTATTTCCTACCACTTGTTTATATTTAATCCTCGTAAGAAACCCATCCATTTGCTAAATACAATTCTAGCTGGAGCACACTTCAGCTATGCATTCACGACTGCAAAATTGTCAAAGGAAATCGACAAGGCCAGCGTGTATGAAGGCTATTTCAATAATTAGTCTGGTATGCTGTTAAAAATCGAGGAGTGAAATTCGGTGCTGGGGCCTATACAGTGCCCAAAATCTCCGAGTGATATGAAAGCGAGGTGAAATTAGCGCCATAAAAGCGTATCAGATTCCGCAAAAAGAGTAGGTTCCGCTCCGTAATGGTGTAAGCCACTCCGTAAAGAGCATATAGATTCCACTCCGCATTCATATTACTCGGGGTTTTGGGCGCTATACGTATTATAATCCGGCACAGAGTTTCCGTCCAAAATGTTTAACAGTGTGTTCATAGTCTGATGGAATGGGGTCTCATGAATTCTAACGTGAGTCCGAAGAAGATGCCTTAAACACCGGAGGATAGAGAAGTAGAGGCAGACAAAGAAAAAGAGGGGGGAAAAGAAAGGAGGAGGAAAAATAGGAAAATAAGAGGAGAAAGTGAAAGAAGGAGAATA